CCTGGGCTCAAGGGATCCTCCTGCCTCAGCCTCCCGAGTAGCTGGGACTACAAGCACACTCCACCATGCCCACCCAATATTTTCTATATATTTTTAGTTGTCCAGCTCATTTCTTTCTATTTTTAGTAGAGGCAGGGTCTTGCTCTTCTCTTGTTCAGGCTGGTCTTGAACTCCTGACCTTGAGCAATCCTCCCACCTTGGCCTCCCAGAGGGCTAGGATTATAGGCATGAGCCACCACGCCCCCGGCCTAATTTGCTGGATTTGATGGGACTCCCCTGTGGGTGGCACATGCCACACCTGGTGGGATTCTCATTCCTTTCAGAGCAGTTCTAAGGAGCTTTCTGGAAGATTCTGGAGAATTTAGCTGACCCTCATTCCAGACCTGCCTGAGGAATGTCACCAGGGCCTGGGCCATCCTTCTGCTGCGAACAGACTGCAGGTTCCACTGAACGCACCTCCAGGGGCTTCCGTCTGCAGACTGAGGGGACCCCCAGGTGGTTCAGCTGTGGCCTCCACCTGTCTGTCTTGAGTGCTGCTTAAAGGATCTCGAAAAACATTTATCCGCTCGCACTTTTAACGTTGACATCTCAATTTTTTCCTTTGTAGATTTAAATAGATGCGAAGTATGTAATTTTCAGATAGAACTGTTCTATCCCTTTTTCTTGTTTTTAAAATTTTAAGTTGTAAAAAATTTAGTTGTAAAATAATGTAAAGAAAATACAGCTTACCCTCGTAACCGTAACCGTAGTGCAGGTTAGTAGTGTTAACTGCAGTCCCATTGTTGTGCGCCCAATCGCTAGAAGTTCTTCATTTTGCAAAACGGAAACTCTGTCCTCATTAAACACTGACCCCCCTCCCCTCCCCCACCCTGCACCCTCCTCACTTTCTGTCTCTGTGAGTCTGACTCCTCTGGGGACCTTGGGCACAGGGCCTCGTGCGGTATTTGTGGCCTGTGGCTGGCTCTTCCACGGGGCATGGTGACTTCCACATTCTCCCGCGCTGTGGCTTGTGTCAGAATCTCCTTCCTTTTCGAGGCCAAGTGACATGTCAAGGTGTGGGTGGACCACGTTTTCCTCACCTGTTCACTTGGCCGCTGTGCTCCTTCTCTTAAACGTAGTCAGTGAAATCGAAACCACCGTTATGCATCCAATGAAAGACAGCAAATTTTTCTTCACATTGAGAAATTTCTAGCCAGGTGTGGTGGCTCATGCCTGTCACCCTAGCACTCTGGGAGGCTGAGGCAGGAGGATCGCTCAAGGTCAGGAGTTCGAGACCAGCCTGAGCAAGAGCGAGACCCCGTCTCTACTAAAAAATAGAAATAAATTAATTGGCCAACTAAAAATATATATAGAAAAAAATCAGCCGGGGATGGTGGTGCATGCCTGTAGTCCCAGCTACTCAGCAGGCTGAGGCAGGAGGATCGCTTGAGCCCAGGAGTTTGAGGTTGCTGTGAGCTAGGCTGACACCACGGCACTCTAGCCCAGGCAACAGAGTGAGACCGTCTCAAAAAAAAAAAAAATGAAGAAATTTCTTTTTGGCCTCCTATGTCCACGTCGTTGCCCTGGACGATATCTGAATGGGATGTACTGTTACCGCCGACAGTGCTACACTCTTTGGCTGGAATTTTGGATTTTCACAGTTTTTTGGGATCGCAGGTTTACAGAGTCAAACTGAGCCTCTGCACTGTCGTGACGGCCGCAGTAAGTGACACGCAGGGCGGCTGCCACCCTGCTGTGGGGACTTGCTGCTCCTTCCACCAGCTCTGCCTTTCCTTTACAGCCGGGTGTGGGGGAGGCCTCGTCCTTCCTGCCCTTCCAGGAGGGGCTGACCTGGGTGTGAGCCTGCGCGG